CTTAATTATGTCACATTTTATGCTAAAATAATTGATATGAAATTGTAAGTATGCTTTATTTCACTATACTGTGTGAAGTACTGTGCAAAGAAAACTCCACTCGGCCCCTTCCATCCCTCATAATATTCAGCATTCCTTCCATTAAAAAAATTGAACGACACGAAGTGCCATAATAATGACATAAATATTATCTCTTTATGTCCATATTTTATAATTATGAGATGCATACTTAGAATTTGCAAACCTATCTATTGTTCCTATCAATTGATGTCTTTTGCCCTATGCCTAATCCAGGTTTTTATTGCCACCAAAGATTGTCACAAGTATCAAATAATTTTGTTCTTTGTATTTGGTTTTGGAATTCAGTGAGCCTTAAATTTAAGATAAGAAAAAGAATTCCCTGTTTTGCTACTTTCTATAGTTAAATATTCTTTTTAAGACCAGATCCGTAGAAAACTCTAACGGAAAACAACAATCGGAATCCCTTGGTTACTGAGATGTGTACTTACGTAATTTATTAGTGACAAAGCATTCTCTAGGTGACCAAACTGTTGACAGGCTTAAGCCTTCATAAGAAGGAATGGAATGAAATGCAGTTCTTATCCATTGCAGACAGAGTTTCGTCTTTTACAAACATAAAGCGAATAATACAAGATTTCACCATTTACATCACAGTAACAGCACTACTCTGAAAAATCTTTATTAAAAAAGGCAAAGTTTCTTCATCTCCTTTACCGCTTTCTAATATGAGAGCAGAGGAAATTGGTACAGGTAATTAAATTTGGAAGAATTAAAAACGTAGAAAACTTCACGTCATGGATCTTAGATTAATATCATGTTGTTGTTAGAGGGATGTAGTGCTCGTGTGACAGAACTATAATGTTTCAAATGAGATTTTTTTTTTGGGGGGGGGGGGGGATTTCGATTATGATTGTTATGTACATTGTAGCATGCAAGAATACTGCAGCTGGTACGTTTTCGTGATTTTTTTCCCTTTAAATGTAGCAAGAAGACAAAAATATCTAAATGTGATGAGTTTTTGATGAACTATCTAGAAACAAAAAGAGTCAAAGCTATTTTAAATAGAAAGGATCCGAATAGTCCTTTCTTGATCTAGTTTCTTTATTAAAACTGTTTAATTTCATGAAAACTCGAAGTAAAGCAATTTGTAAATTGTATGTATACTAGTAAGTTTATATGTATTTTGAAGGTTTTGGTTTTTCTCAGATTTATTGAATAAGAATGTTGTCAAATGACATTTCACATGCGCATCCAAACCTAATTCCTTGAACTGATGCTTCCTGCATTATATTCTATTCCGCGAGAGGTAGATAAAATCTTCTGGTAAAACGCAATGTTCCGACCACCACCAAGAACATTTTCAATTCCATGCACACGAAACAAAATATACTTTCCCTTACAACAAAAAATATACTAATTTATTCCTGCAAATATTCCCTTCTCCTTTCAAAGGTTGATCGTAAACGATGTACTTCCTGGGCAGCTGTCATTTTAAGGATAAGGTTTCCTCAAATATCATCAAATATCATTGAAACATCCGTTGAATTATCATGTACGAGGGTTGATAGATCCTGTCTTGATAGATTCTAACCTCGATTTCTCTGCCATTTCGAAACTGAACATTCAATTTTTGCAGGATTGATGCTAAAACTTTTGCCAATGTCATAATGCAAAAGTCATCTAAATTTTTGCGGAATTTTACAAAATACAAATGAAATGTATAAAGTGATAAATAACTTTTTAATTAAAACTTTGCCGTGCTCCGGGTCACCATCCCAAGTCATAATTATATGAAGTCATAATCATAATTATACATTTAAATTTGAATAAAATTTTACATTTTATAATTCACATATAGTAAAGGATTATAAATATGCTAATAATAAATATTTATTACACAACTTTTATTTATATTTTAGCTTGTCCACGAACTTTATGGACAACCCTCGTATTTCCTTCCTTTACATAAAGTGATTGCACTTATAGAAAAAAATCTATGTTTGATAGAATGACATTACCATGCATAGTGTAAGCCCTATGTAACGAGTATGAAATAAGAAGGCAAAGAAAAAAAACATTTGAGATATAAAAATAAAATGTTCCGTTAATGTCAAATGTTATTCTGAGTTCAATTTAGTTGGTAAAGATTTTTCTTCACTTTTATGATAACATTAATATTATATTATACATCTTTCGGTAATATTCGGATGAACAACTGTCCTTGTGTATTTTATATGTTTAACGTGTATTTTATCTTTCATTTTGATTTTTCTTGCTATACAGATATTCACCTGTCGAAAGGCATTCTGCAATAAAATGATTTTTTAAAATATATTTGTATGCCGTTAAAACTTTTGACATAACTAAACGTAAGTAATTCTGCTTCTACTTCCTTTCCACTATACATTTCCCAAAATCATCATCTACATGTTACCCGGATAAAACCCGGTGTGAATGCGTGAGACCTCCAATACCCCAACTCCACCCCAACCCCTCAACGGAATGTTGCTCTCTAAATTTAGTCCTCCTTTATAGTAATTATCTAAAGTAGGTTCCTTTATAGTAATGATCTAAAGTAGGTTGCACTGGAGCAAGACTTTAAAGAGAGCATTGGGAAGTGGGCAGAATATAGAATATTATAGAGAATGATACTAACTGTTGGCAGATTTGTTTTAGATGAACTTTTCCACACAGTTAAATCTCAATTATAAATTCTGATAGCATAAGTATTTTGATAGTTTTCATTGAATTCTATATTTATAGATTAAAGTCATTAAAATAAGATATAAATTTGAATAATTATGAAATAATAAATCTGAGAGTAACTCATAGGGCAGGTAAAAGTTTGTCTTTATAACTCTCTTAAAATTAATAGTTCAGAAAATAACAAGTCAAAAATTCTTGTGCATTTGTACACATTTATAGAAAACGCATAAAGTGGAGCTACATAGCAATTCTAACAAAAGCCTTAGAATCAGATTTTGAGTTTTGAATTTCCCATCCTTCTTTTCACACAGAGAGAGAGAGAAAGAGAGAGAGAATAGCCCTTGAGTTTACCCCAAAAATAGTAACCATTTTAACAGCAGTTTATTTTTGAAAAAAAATTCTTTCAAGTTATTGCTGTAAATTGGAAGTACTTAAACCATAATTTTTTAAATTCACCTAATCCTCATTTGAGTTTATATCACGTTTTTAAAGTCAAAATGGCTTCTAATGAGGTTCTGAAAATGAAGTACTAGAAAACTTACTGACAGACAAGGGATATTAACTTTAACTGAGCTTTTGCCACTCGCGACCTAAAATGCTGTAGGAGATTTAGTTTTGCCTAAAACAGCCTACCTATTCAAGAGATCTCTCACATGGTGACGAATATGCATGAGGACAGGATGGCTTAAGAGTAAGATTCTTTCTTTGGAAGGGATAGGGGCTTTTAGAACGAAAGGTTCCTGGGAAGGCTTGGTTGAGGGAAGAAAATGAATTACTTTCTCTTTTTGTTTGAAAGAAGTTTTTTCGATAAAGGCATATTCCTGCAACATTTTAGTCATTATATGAAAATATGTCCTTTGAAATGTGCGTAGCTCTATACATTTGTATAAATTTTTGAATAAAAACATGGATTCGAAAAAAAAATGGCATTTTTGTCTCGATGACGTACAAAACCTTGGAATTTTACCCTTATTTTTAAACACTGAACAAAATGCACATTTGTTCAATTTTGACATATTTTTACAGAGCACAAAATAACTTAAGTACAATATTTCATTGATATTACCATTTTACACAATATATCAAAGGATGATGTTCGAGCAGAATTATATAAATCTACAATATCCAAATAATGGCATGAAAACACAATTTTCCTTCAAGATCATTGTAATTACAGTAAAATGAAAGGTCATTCTCTTAATACAATTATTATTTCATGACGTCATAGTTGATGAAATAAATTCATGATTATGAGTTTATCATGCCAACGCCTGCCAAAACATCCCATGACACGGGGTCTTAGTTTTTAAGGTTTTATCCGAATTTGGAAGACCTGCAATTAACTTTCAGTTCAGTGTGCCGAGCACTTGACGAGGGAACATTTCACACAAAAAATAAGGGGTGTGTGACAAACATGATCACAAAATTATGTCCTCTTTTGTAAAGCATGAACGTTTTCTGCAAGAATTATTTTCGAGAAATCTTCTATTTTGTAGATGAGTGTTTAGCATGGAAATGTACCTCAGTGTTAGAAAAGTGCATATCTTGACAATTTTCAAAAAAGAAAATAATAAATGAGTTTATTCTTATCTTAAGATGCTTTGTCCTTTTGTTCATCTATTCTTTCAAATATTAATATGAAGCTTACAAATTAAATAAAACCATTGGTACATGTACGACCTACGTGACGTGGATTCACCATCGTTCTCTTCGATAAACTTTAAAAGTATCCTTTGTCCTAGATATATAGACATTTACATACTTTGTCCCTACTGATGATTCAAAATAGCTACATGTATTTTGATTTCAACTTTTAGACCAATTACCACGAAAATAAATACTAGTATCTATAGTTACTATCAAAAATATTAATTTTTTTAAGTTTTGCAAGATAAAGACCTACTAATGCAGTTTCAAGAAAATCTATGATCACATGTTCCAAAAAAAGTCCTTATAGAGAATGGTTCCTTTCAACAATTATTAAGGATATTTGTTAATATGAAGAATGCATTTCCCTGTAGATTGTATAAAAATAAACTGTGTTATCAAATGTTTGCAAAACAGGATAATGATACGCTCCTCTTCAATGTTCGCTCAGAATGTTTTGGATTTTAATAACAATACAAGTAAGTTCTGCGCTCAGCCTCGGGAATATTTCATGTCCCAGTCTATGTGTGTGTCATAAAAATGTAGCAGTATGCGAGGGACATTTCAAACGATTACAGTATATTCCTCCTCTTCCTAAGGATATAACCAGTCTTACATTTAGTAATAACTTTCTACCCATCATGGGGGAAAATACGTTTCAGAATATATCCAATTTGTACCTTAAGAAACTTGTTTTGAGAAATAACCACATTCGTCAGGTATATAAACCTACTTTTCAAGCACTACCTCGCCTACAGTATGTCGATCTCAGTGGTAACGTGATACACACAAAATATCTTAAAAAGGCTTTGTTCGGATTTAGAAACAGCACACTGCAAGAACTTTATCTAACTAAGTTACACATATCGAATTTAGCAGATGACTTTTTCTTACACCTGACAACTATACAGCGGATTTTCTTAGATGACAACGTGCTCTTCAATTTTAGCGGGAACTTGTTTTCATTGCCTCAACAGATACAACTGATTTCATTGAAAAACAATGACATTTCATTTGTAGAATTCAATGTAGAGATGCCAAACTTGAAAGTTCTTATTTTGAAGAGTAATCAATTGAGGGAAGTCCCAGAATTTTGTCACAAACGGCAGCCAATTTTTCCAAAACTTAAAGTGCTTGATCTGAGCGATAACCTAATACCTGTTGTATACAGTAAGAATTTCCAGACGAAATGTCTTCCAAGTCTTCAAAAGTTGTCTCTCGGATATAACAAACTTAAAACAGTACCAAAAAACCTGATACGTGGTTTACCAAGACTTGAGTACCTATCAATAGAAAGCCGTGATCCTGATGTGACATTTAATGAATATTCCTTTAATAGTTCCTCTTTGACCTACCTGTATATGGCTAATAGAATAAGTATTCGCACTTGGAGTGGAAATTTCTTTCAACATTCTCCAAACTTGAAAATATTGGATATGACTGGAATACAGCTTAACTCCTCCACTCACCCGGAAAGGAAAATATTTTTGCTTTTCCGGCCTCTCAAAAAGCTTGAAAAATTGATTTTAACAAAAACTTCTCTGTCAACGTTTCCAAAATCCCTCTTTTCTTTGATGTCAAATTTAACGGAACTCGATTTGCAGCACTGTTATTTCAATCAATTGCACTTACAACTATTTGCATCAGTGTCGTTAAGAACCCTTCTGTTAGACAACAATCTGATAACAACCTTAAACAAGACAAACCTTCCTTCCCTTGTTGAAAACATCGGACTTAGAGGCAATCCTTTCTTGTGTACATGTGATCTCATTTGGTTTCGCAGATGGATCCAAACCAATTCTAGTAAACTATTAGGCTGGCCGAATGATTACACGTGTAATCTTCCACAGGAGTGGATAGGAAAGAATCTTGCAGATTTTCAATTAAGTTACTCATTTTGTCATCCACTGAATCCCTATATCGTTGTTGCCATTTCCACGTCGTTTGCGGTGCTTGTAATTGTAATAGTGTCCTTTGTATTATACCAAAAACGCTGGCATATCAAATATTATTTGTACCTTTTACGCGCCAAAAGACGAGGGTTTGAAATTCTAGGGGGAGATGAATATGCATATGACGTGTTTGTTGCTTACAATTCGGAAGATAGGGTTTGGGTTATTTCGGAACTAATTCCTAAACTAGAAAAAGAAGAAAAATTGAAACTCTGTTTACACGACAGAGATTTTCAAGTTGGCAAACTTATCGTAGACAATATCACTGATACTATGCATAGAAGCCGAAAAGTTCTAATCATTCTCTCTAACAGCTTTGCACAGAGTCATTGGTGTCTATTTGAAACCATGTTGGCTCAAGTACGGTCGATAAATAATGGAAAGGAGACTGTCATTGTAGTTATTCTAGAGAATATCCTATCAAAACACATGACTAATTCTTTACATGTTCTTCTGAAAACCATCACCTTCATAGAGTGGACCAACGAAAAATCAGGGAAGGAAATGTTTTGGAACAGACTAGTGGCCGCCATTAGGACTTAATTACAGGGATTTTTCTCTGTTTTATACTATATTTGGCTACATATTACTCCGTTTAAATGATCAATATATTGGGATCACGGTTTGACCGTTCGACAGGGGATGCTTACTCCTCCTACATATATGATCCCACCTCTGGTGTTTCAAGGGGTGCGTGTTATTGCTCTCTTGACAATTTGTATTCTTTACTGAATTTATGAGATTGATCACTGTTCGTTCTCTTCACCTTTTATCTACACTGACTTGCAAAAAGTATTGATAGAAATTTATTAATTGCAAAATTATTTTATACAATCTAATTCATTTTGGTAGGTAGAGTTCAAATGTAACTGTAGTTTTGCTTGTAACTCGTTATGACGATTACATTCCTCATGCGAGTTCCGGAATCATTTCATACTTGTGTGTAAAAATAAAATGATCATTAAAAACGTTTTTTATTTCTTTAAAGAAAGTTATATAAATAAATAATTTTTGTATAATAGGGAATTACAAAACACGGGCTGTCTAATAAGGAATTGCAAAAACCGGCTGAAGAATACGTTGCATTAGACCATTTTTTGAAATAATTTCATTGTTAAGATATTTCGGTAAAATTTTTCATATTTATTAATTTCAGTATATAACTGTAGATCACTAAATTTTCACAACGCCTTATTTTTGCGAGATACTAATGAACTCTTCATTAACGAAACAAAATTTTCACGAATTTTGGTTATTGCTCTATATAATCTTAAGGAATACTAATAAACACGAGAATGAAATTTTCGCGCGAACACTGTCTCACGTAATTATGCGAAAATAAATTTCTGGCGAATAAAAAGTGATTAACAGTATTGATTTCAGTATGTTATTGCTCTCAGTACTTGTACATTTACATTCAATTTTATTATTTATAATTCAATTATTAAGTTAGGAAGTTATAGGTGTTCTAACAAGAACGAAATATCGCTGGATATAAGCACCAGCTGCAATAATGTATCCCTCTCCGATTTTCTTTGTTCATTGTAATTTATTCGTTGTATGTATAATTCTAATCTCTGTAATGGAGGAAATAAAAGATGAATGAATGAATGAAGAAGAGGGCTATAATTCCACATGATCTCAGTAATGGTGCAGATATATTTTTGGATACAGGTGACTGCAGGCAAAATAAAATTGCTTTTGCAATAAACTTTCTTATAAGATGGAACGTTTATTTACTTTCAACAACCTAGACCTTTATATGCTAAAACAAGGTAAAATAAAACTACATGTTTACCAGTCGTCTTCCTCAGTAGCTATGACAGTTCTAGCGTGATATACTGAGACTTGCGCTTGAAATTTAGAAAGGCTTGATATTGTAAATGTCGGTGTTGATAAATGATTGTGTTGTATGGTATCACTACACATCGATAAATAAAAGCATTCCATGTGATTTGTTTTTTTCATAAACAGTTATATTTATGCATTCCTCTTAGATATGTTCCCTAGATTTTGAATTCTCATTAGCTGTCCCAAAATATAATAGATCGAGGTCAGTAAATATGGCGGATGATTCAAGTTGTGATATTGCTGAAAAATATCTGATATATACGTATTATTCTGATCAATCCATGTCTTGCATAACTTCAATTTATGAGTTCAAGTAGACAATGTAAATAAAATGACCATGGTAATGATACCTTGAGCCAAAATCTGTGGGGGAGTGAATGCCTCCCGCACTTTCACCAGACCCTTAGGAGTTACCCTCTTCCACAAAAAAGAAAAGGCTACATTACTGCAGCTAGCGTAGTCGATCTCCCTTTACCTGTGTAGCAAAGAAGCCACAAAAGTTATTCTATAATTTACATAAAGTATGTATACATGTATCAAATGAAGCATAAAATCCACCGGTGAGTATATGATCATGAGCCTCTTATGTGTGTTTTGCAAAGTATGTATTCATTACTCTTCTGAAATTAAAGATTTAAAATTTACATTTGATGTGTTTTTCGACTTAACCAACCAAGAGATTGATTTGAATACCATTTTCATGTATACTCACGTGTAGAAATATACCCGAACAAAATCGCGCTGAGGTGACGTTCACAATGAGGCTATAGAGACGCTAATTAAAAAACATAACAATATAGGGCAGCAAGAAATTCAAACATTGAGTATATTTTTGGTGCTTTTAAACACGTAAAATATAAATATAAGGAAGTTTTGAAGTTCACAATTAATTCAAAAACCTTAATTCATTGCATTTCTGCAGGACTCCTCCAATCATCCTTCAAATGATGAAATGGCTACTGCGTAAAATGTATGAGGAGTTCTGTAGAAAAAAAGGGAAAAAATCGGCTAAATTTGGAACTTGAAAACGTCATTTTCAACCCCTATTTGGCCCCAAGGTTGAAAATGAAAATTCCGAAACCTAATTGCACATCTGCAGGACCCTTCCAATCGTCTTGCAAAAGATGAAATGGCTACTGCGCAAAATGTATGAGTTCTGGGAGCCAGGTTTTCGTAAAATGAAAATGAATTATGGAGATAATGAACAGAATTCAACCTCAAAATCCACTTAAACAATACAAATCGGGAGCAGAGCAAACACGGACCCCCAAAAACATCAGAGGCGGTATCAGGTACCATTGAAGAGTGAGCATCCCTTGCCGATCGGTCACACCCGCCGTGTGCTCCTTTTCATGATAGGCAAAACGGAAAAATATCCGTCGGTAATTTAGTGTGTAAATAATGGCCTAACAATTAGTATGAAAAATGTCAGTCAGCATTTGATTTAATGATAGGTTGTATTTGCTGACAAGGTCATTGTATCAACCACAGAACTTGCGAAATGATGACTTCAAACGAGACTGTTGATATCCTTGTTTCATCAACTTGTTTGTCAATTGCTTGCCTCGTTTTAGAAATTCTTCATAGGTAGAGCATGCCCTTGCGTATCGAATAAACTGGGAGACAAAAAACCCATATGCAGATGATAAGGGTATATTGCTATATAAGTAAGGGAAGTTAACGATTGAAAAGTTGAAGTCATCACGTTTATCATAAAGCTTTGTTGTTAGGTTACCATTAAAGTCTTTTTCTAGTAAGATATCCAAATATGAAACAGATGTGTCAGACTCCGTGGTATCTTTTATTTCAAGCTCCCTGGGATATACCGTGTCGACATTAGAATGGAAATAACTATTGTGAGTTGATAATACATCGTTGATACATCTAAATGTTGTGTTGAAGGCCACAGCAAGTGTTTTCTTCTTCTCATGTAGAAGTTTTTGAATAAATTCTGCTTCGTATGAATACAAAAATAGGTCTGCTAAAAAGGGGGTGCAATGGTACCCATGGGAATTCAAACAGATTGTTGGAAGATCTGATCTCCAAAAACTACATAGATATTGTCAATCAGAAACTCAAACATCTTTGTAAATTCAACTCCAGAGTACCTGTGAGTACAATGAGAATGTTTTTTAGCACTGGTTGGCAAATGACCAGTGACAAGGTAAGTACATTTACAAGTACCATTTTTATTGACAAAGCAGCTGTCGATGATGTCAAAAAGCCTGGACTTTAATTTATCGTTGGGAATGGTTGCATGAAGTGTTGAAAAGTCGTGCGTTTGGATGTTGTTGACTTTGGTAAAATTTTGTGATTTCAAATTTTCTGAAAGTTTCAAGGAGTTTTAAGTACATGTTTCCACATCTTATTTACACCACTTCTTGAATATACAGTTGTACGGTACTCCCAAAGTTTCTCCTTCACTGCTGTAAATATTTTAGTACGTAAAGAATGAGGCTTGGTAGAACATTAACTGGAACCCGCTATGTATGATTGTTTGAAAGGATTTTTATGGAGTTTTGGAATCTACCTGATGGCAAGTATGTTCTTCCCAACATTCCATTTCTGAATCATGTCGTGGACAAGAATTTTTTTTGTGATCTTTTAAACGATTTTCTCTGCATCAAAGTTATATTAAGTTCGTTCATCTTCGATGAGCTAAGTCAGAACTTTCACACTTCTTAAATCTGTGATATTGACCTTGTTCAAATTAAAATAGATTTGGATATAAATGTAGCCTTAATTGTGTCACGAGCAATCTTTTTCTCAATTATAAGCTTCTAATTTTCCTCCACTTTAAAGTTGTGCCTTCCGTGCCCGTGACCTTGACCTTATGTAAAATGACCTTGGTACATGTTCATGACACACCTTTAATCACAAGGTACTTTGTTTAAATTGCGAGTCTTTAAAATTCCCGTTTTCAAATTTTGTCCAGACAGTTTTAATTATTATATCTATTTTTAAAAAGAAGATGTGTGTGTTCAAATACTGTATTATATCTACAAAGTTAAAATAAATCATTATTGAATCTGAAGATAATGTCTGGACAAAATGTCCGAGGACTGTTAGGTGTTTCCAATAACCCCCGCCGTTTCTCCAAACACTTTGGTGGTATTATTATTGCATACACTCTGTTTACACTTAGAAATCTTTTTGAATATGAGGATCAAGGGTTTTGAAGGTCAACTTATTGTTACGAGTTTCTCAGGATATGATCACTTTGAACGTACCTGGAACTGCTCTGGAGTTATGTGAGATGCAATTTACTTTCAAAATATAACCAACTTAGCCCCAGTCCGAGGCTTGGACCAGACTGTGCTAGAAGGGCATGAATTTTACAATTTGGTTTAGGAGAAAAAGTACATTTTCTCATTTACCATGAGAAAAAAGACTTTAAAGATACGATCTATTTTCAATTTGTTTCTAATAAAGCCCCACTTTATGGATTTTACAATTTAATCATACAACATGTTTATCTACCAGAAGTCCATGAATAAGAAAGACAGTTTTATAAAAAATGATTCATTTTCGAAGAGCAATTTAGCACCACCCTGGAGTCCTAACCCAGGATTCATGAATTTCACACTTTAAGCTGAAGTCTCTTTGCTTATTATAATCATGCCAACAGTTTGACTCTATGATGTACAAGAGTAACGAAGATTTTTGATGATTGCATTAATTTTGGCGATTTT